TTTTTAAACCCACTTCAGATATATTCTACACTGAGATTCTGTGCCCATTTTTGTTAGTCATAAAGAAGACCCAATGCAGTAAGTGGTGTTTTGTCACTATCACAGTCAGAGTGGGAGAGGGAAAAAATTGACTTTCATTGTGGTGGTCTGATGTGGACAGTGGAAATCTATTAACTGCTTCTCCACAAAAGTAAGCTAAGAAAAGCAAACTATCTATCAGTAAAGTAACATTTCCCCATCCAGGGTCAGTACCTTACTCAGAAACACACAGAGATCTGTAATTCAAACACCCTGACATACAATTTTAAAGTAAAATCTGGATGAACTGAACAGCCCAGCTGGGGTTTTGCTGAACCTTCACTTCAACAGAAAAATGTTGCTTCAATCAGTCTAATCTGGTTCTTTTTCCCATATCCTGTGGCCACCAGAAGTCTCACAAGAGACTTCCTATTATCTTCTTCAAAGGGGAAGATAATAGGAAGACAACTCAAAATGGTAAAACCTCATTGCCCCAGTTCAGTGGGCATTGGTGTTTCTCAACTGCAAATAAAGGTTAAAAAAAAAAGTGTGGGGAGGGGACATAGAATGGTTTGGGTTGGAAGGGACCATTATGATCAACTAGTTCCAGCCCCCTGGCACAGGATCAGATTGCTTAGAGCCTCACCCAGACTGGCCTAACATGGTCTTTCTCATCCAACCCATTTGATAAGCTTGACCAAAAGGGATAAACACTGTGAAGCAGAAGCCACGGATTTAAAAACTGGAGAATTCTTCTGGAAAATTACTTTTCCTAGTCTCTTTTTAGAGAAAAGTACCAAAACTTTTTTTTATTTAAATAACTGACAAAATTTTAATATTTCTAGGAATTCTGTAACACATCTATTACTTAAAATCCTTACTCTTCTGTGCTTCAACTTTTCACCACACACTTGACACCCTCCACCCCTCCCACTTGCTGAGCAGAGCATATCCCTGCCAGGGAAGCCAGAGGAGCTGTTTCTACCCCAGACAGTCCTGAACTGAGCCCAGTAAGCTGAGATGAATTCTTATCCTCTTGGTACTGAGTTCAGTCAGCCCTTCAGTGTTGTTCTATATAATTTTTAAAAAAGGGGGTTTTTTTAGAAAGCAAAAGCAACCAAAAGAACTAATGAGCTACACTGCAACAAAACATAGTCTACTGATGTCTATATAGCACTTATCAACAGAAGACAAGATAAAAGCTTCTCACTTCTTTTACCAGTTTCTTTTCATAGTTTTCGTGACCATTTTAAAGGACTGTTAATTTCTCTCGAGTCAAATAAAAAAAAAAAAACTGCAATTGCTAACACAACATAAAAAGCCTAACAGCAGTAGTTGCCATTAAAAAGCCTTTATTATTTGCAATTGCTGCTACTACATAATGAGACAAAATGTGTCACCAGGTATGCACACCTTACTCAGGAAAGAAAACTCCCTGAATAAATAACCTCCTAATGAGCAACAGCCCAGATTTGGGTCTCACACCCACCATCAACAAGGCTTTGTGAGTGCATCATGGGGGAGGACTTGATAAAAGTCAATACTGCTTTAAGAGATCATTTTCTGAATCTCCTTAAAAAAGCTGCCTATACTCAGAGAAGTACGGGATTCCAAAAGTATAGCAAAACCTTTATTAGCTTGTTTTTAACAGAACTCTACTCTGTGACTATGGAATTAAAACCAAACAGATGAGACATAAGAGCCAGAAGTAACATTTCAATGAATAAGGTAAGAATTCCAGAAAACACACATAACAGTGCTTAAACATAGGTGGTAAAGAAATAATTTATATTTTTAAATGCATATTAAAAACCATCCTTGCTTTCTCCAGTGGCTTTTACTGCTCTGTGAAAGCAACCACTCAACTGCCTGAATTGTTTTTATATACCAGGAATGCTGAAAAATCAGTTACTGACCAAGAAAATATGTCTATTGATATATATAAATAAAAAATGAAGCATTTTTACAGTTAATATCTGTTCCTTAATTTGTATTCTGTCCTGAAGATTATCAGAGTCTGACTAGATTATAGGCATTAGTTTAGCTATGAATAATCTTGCTAGTTTTGGACTTGCTCATATTTGTAACAAGGTGGTTCCTTAGGGAACCAGCTGAGGGAGACTAAGATCATTGTTCCATTTTCCATTATAATTTTACCTCAGTCAGCCTATAAATACTAAATTCCATATTCATCAGGAACTTATAAATGAGTGATCCTTCACTGGAGCTACGCTTTCTGTTGTGTGCATCCCAAATATAGAAACAAACACTTGTACTCCCATATTTACATTACAGTAGCTGCATAAAAAGGAACTTTAAATCTGTCTGTAAGCCACGAGTTACTACTGTTCTTTAATTCCATAGCTGAGGACAGAAAAGAAAGGACACACTTCATTAGAAAGGAGATTTTGTTTGTTTCTTTGGACAGCAAAACCAGATGTTTAAAGTGCTGGAAGTGATCTTGATGACAAATTAGAAAGCTGAAAGCAGGAACAAGAGCCTAGGAGGCATCTTAAATTATATTCAATACATTGCACTGCTTTGTGCAACACAGGTCTCACTACTGTGAATATGAGGTGTGTGTTAATATTATTTGAATATACAGGACTGCAAAGAAATCCTTTTAAAAACAACTGTGCAATGGAAATATAAAACAAATGGCTGTGTTCACAATGTTGTATTTACAAAACTTTCCTGAATTCCTGCTCCTCTTTCCACTGTACCTATATGATTGCATGGATGAAGTTTCCTAATGGCAGCTTAATTCAACTCTTACAGCTACACAAGCTGAAGTCAACTCCATACTCACATTTTAGAGGAGCAAACCAATATTTAAATTTAAGGCAAAGCAAGCCAGAAAAGACAGGTCACCTCAAGCTATAACATGAATCCAGATGAAAAACATCACTAAATTAACACACACATAAAAGACAAGGTTACTAACAAGGCAGCAATAAATTTAGAAAAATAGTCCAATCCATTTGCTTGATGCTACTATGTTAAGTTTATTCCATTAAGCAAAAAATCAGTTTGTTTGTTTTTTAATCTGAATCATGCCCAGTTTTCTAAATAAAGCTACTGCAATCATATGTGGAAAACAAATACTGGATTTCAGTACTTTGAGAGCACCACACTTCCCCTCTTCCCCAGCCATCTCCAGCAAGGACAGCCTGTTTTATATTCATCAGTCCAACAATCACAGCTCAGACAGTGACAGCAGGCTTGCTTACATTAAATCACTGATGTATTTCACTCTGATTTTTCATTAGGATAAGTTTTTTGCAAGCAAAGACAACTTTGATATGACTGTATTCCATGTCAGCTATACAAGCCCATTCTCAGTTGGGAGCCCTACTACCCCATTTAGTTTCTTCACTCCCAAGCTTGTATGGTTTCCAAGTTTACCACACCTCCTCAGCCTTCAATACAGGGCAGATTTTCATCTGCTGATGTTGAAACATGAGCAGGGTTAGCTTGCCTTTGTGAACAGCTGGGCAAATGCCTTATTTGCCGAGCTTTGTCTCAAAACCCATCCAAAATCTGGTGGTCTTGTTACCAAATGGGTATTTCAAATCAGTAACCACAAACCTGTTCTCCAAGGGTTCATGACAAATCAGCAAGGTGGTTGATAAATGGCCACCAAACAGATTGCAGGTAGCAGAGGTTTTTTAATTGCTGCCAGCCTGTAATGAAGGATCTAGTTTGATGCATTGAGTCAGAACGAAATGAGTTAAATTGTAATAACTTTAAACTAGATATTTTAGATAAAAATAGAATGGAGAATTCATACCAAACCTTAATTGTCAAGGAAATTGCTCAAAACATTTAATACTATTTTATTCCAAAAGTGATATACATCACAATCATATGTGTATTCTTTTTTAAGTTTATTGTACTGTTGGCAGTAGGAAACACTCCTATTTGTTCAGTCATTGAAATAATTTCTATTGCCTTTTTGAACCTGTTAGAAAAAAAGACACTCATTTTATTTGCTCTAATAACTCTCAAAGTGTCAGATTCAATAAAGACTCAATTTTCCACTCTGCAGAAATTACCCCCAAACTCCTGGTTTTAGGCCTTTAAGAATCAAAAATACTGATAAGGCTTTTAAAGAATGTTTCCCAATTATTTTATAACATTCTCTTATCTGTCTTTTGACCCTGAGACCAGCTTCCTTGGTTAGAGCCTAGTGCTAGTAATGCCAAGCTTGTGGGTTCAATCCCTGTACGGGCCATCCACTTAGGAGCTGGATTTGATGATCCTTCTGGGATCCTTTCCAACTCAGAATATTCTGTGATTCCAGTTAAAAATGTATCTAATATGACAAATTACTGTCCTATACCAAAGTATCTTGAGTACACACATTCACTTGCACTTGGTAGTCATGTCTGCTGCACTCATACAAGAAGTAGAAGCTCATGAGTAAGAACAGACACGTTTGTTTTCAGGAACTCATCTCTGAACTACGTTTGCTCACTGTCATATCAGACATGGAAGAACTGGCCTGGTATTTTACCTAAAATGAGTTAACAGATTATTAAAATCAGTCACCCATATAAAAATCCACATATTCATATATCCATAGAACTTTTCTCCTCTTTTACCTGACTCGAGAAAAAAAAAATATGCAAACAAACAAACAAAAAAATAACCTCAAGAAAAACATTTCTGTGCCCATTCTGCTCATTACCCAAGTCATTTGGAAAAAGTCTCCATAGTGTCTGAAAAAGAGAGATCCCATTACTTTAATTATCTTCATTTAGAGAAAAACAGAATAGTGGAATATCCAAGATGTGTGTATGCTACAACTCCACAGCAGTACCTTGCTTCTGTAACACCCACTTCCTCAGAGTGACTGCTATTTTTACACCTTTATATTTCTTTAACAGGATGAAAAATGCTTTTTAAGCAGATGCCAGGACTTCAAGAAGCCTGGATTCTTAAAGACTCACCAAAATAAATAAGAAGGCAATTCTACCTACCTTAGATATTTCTGGCTCCACTTGTCTCTTGGGTGTGTCTTTTGACTCGGGCCCTTTGGGAGTACCGGTGTTCTTAACTGCCAGCGAATCAACTCCTTCACCTTCAAGCTGCAGGTTAATGCCTTCTGTGGGGACAGGGTGATCAATACCATTTGGATTCAGATTGCAATGGATAGCTGGGAAAAAATAGGAGAAACATTGCTTTAGAGCTGGGGAAAAATATGAGAAACGCTGCTTTAGGAAACATTGCTTTAGGAAAGAAGAACCCAACGGTTCAAACATTTAGCACGAACTACTGAGAAGTGCCATGCAGTAACCAGAGCTGTGTCAGACCACAGCAAATGAACCATCTGTACTTTGATGTGGATTCAAGGTGAGATATTTGAGAAAGAAAAAGAGAGGAATGCAGCACTGTATAAATTTATTTACTGCAGGCTACCATGCAGAACAGTGCTCTGCTGAATTCACTGGAGCACCCAAGACCCTCAACTTAGAGCTTTTATTAAATGTTCATCATCCAACCATACATTTTTTTCTGTTCTAGGCAAACAAGTTGAAGGTTTTCTATTACATTTTCAATTCCTACAACATTCTAGGTCTTGAAGAATGTGGGATAAGTAAGCCATGCACAAAAAAATCAGCAAGTCAGTCTCTGCACAGAGTAATGACTTATCCAGCTGATTATTTCTCCTTCAGTCCTTTGTACCACTGCAAGTTACCACCTACACCATCCTAACAAGCAAGAGAGATGTACTCCCTAGGAGTATATAATGAGGTAGGGACTAATGACAGCAGAATAAGGAAAGCATCCAGAGGAAAAAAATAAAACAAATGCAAACCATACAACAGAAATGCCCTTTTAGAACTATGGCAGTAGCTTGCTTTCTGCCCAAATTTTCACAGTTACAGCACTCACACATATAGTAGTGATTTTAAAAATGTGTGGATACTGAGATAACTTCCCCTTTATGTGACTGACTTTTGCATTTATGTTCCTGCACAACTGGGCTACTTTTAGCACTACTTGTAATTAATGGTCCCAACTTCCCCTGTGTACAAAAGAACTTTGCTCAGATACTGTGGTGCAATGTTTGACAGATCTGAATATAAACCTAAACTACAATGTACAGCCAAAACAAAAGCTGCCCTTTTACTCTTGCTTGACTTAGAAGCAAAGGATGGGGAGCGGGGGAAGAACTACCAGTTTCTACCAGCTATAGATCAGCCCTTGAAGGCCTCTCACAGGAAACTGGCTCAAGCTGCCTGTGAAAGCAAAGGGTTATTTAACTTCAGCACCTTTTGAAAATCTCTTCAGCTTAAATCCTAGAGTCTTAATTGAAAACTTTGAGTCTCAATTACAAGAATTCCTTGGTACAGAATTAAAGCAGAGGCCAAAATGTTGACCATTTTGCCTTGAGATCTTTAAAAACATCCAAATATTTCTAAAAGATAAGTGATCTCTGCAACTACTACAATACCTACATCTGCAAGCCAAGGACAGGAACACGTCCTGTGGGAACTTAAAAAGAAATTTGATTCTGTGGTTTACATTTACATCAGTGTGCCTCAAAACACCAAAAAAATTCTCTCTCTCCTAGATTATAGCCACCTACTATTATCTAGCTCCTCTAGATCATATTAACCTACCCAAAGGAAACAACTACTAACAACTCTGCCTGTCCTCCAGACCACAGAAAGATAGATGTGATCCACCAAGACTATTTTCACAGCACACTGAGAATAAAAACTGTTCTGTTAGTAACCTAATTAATTCCCCCTGTACAAAAAATGTAAATGTATCATAACTGACCTGTAAAAGTACTCCCCTCCTAGCACACCCTGCTCCAGCAAGGGCTGACCAGCAGTAAAAACACATTTGGTATCAGATGCAATCCATAAAAATCCTCCAACTGCCAGGATCTTCCCTAGCTGAATAGGAAGACTCCTAGAGACACCTTTGAAACCCTAACACACTACAGCAACATTCAGAAGCAGGCAGTTTTTGGCTGTCAGCCCAGTTCCAGTGCTCACCAAAAAGAAATTAGGTAGCGCAGTAGAACTTAAAACTGTCTGGAAGAACAATGCCAGCAGCAAGTCTCCTGTGAATTGCAACTCCTCCCTTCCAAGTGCTCCCAAACCATAGAGATTAGGGAGAAGGGTTGCATGGCATCAACAAGGAGACCCTTCTGGGTTATGGCACTAATTCACCATGCATTAGAGGCAGCAAATGATACAGGTTTTGATAACATGGCAGCATGATGACTAACCTTACCTCCTCCTATGTACAGCCACATGACACACTTGGTGGATGAGGGAAAGGCTGTGGACATTGTCTAACTCGACTTTGATACTGTCTCCCACAGCCTTCTCTTGGAGAAATGGCTTTTCATGGCTTGGATTGGGGTACTGTTCACTGGGCAAAAACCTGGCTGAGCGGCCAGGCCCAGAGAGTGGTAGTGAATGGAGTTATATCAAGCTGATGACTGGTCAGTTATATAACTCCAGTTATATCAAGCTAGTGCTTGATATAACTTGATATAACTTGATATCAAGTTATAACTTGATATAACTCCAGTTATATCAAGCCAGTTATATCAAGCTAGTGCTCTTTCAGCAATGCCTTTTACTGGGCTCCTTCAGGATACAAAAGAGAAAAAATGGAAGAGGCTGCTAGCAATAGAGATGCCCACTGCCTTTTAATTGAAAACAGGTGAGTGGTTAAAAGAAACACAGGCTGTCCTAGGGGACTTTTCCAAGTGGTGTTCCCCACAGCCAGTTCTATTTAATATCTATCACCAGTCTGGATGAGGGGATCAATGGTACCCTCAGAAAGTTTGCAGATGACACCAAGTTGGTTGGGAGTGCTGATCACACTGCTGGAGGGTAGGAGGGCTCTGCAGAGGGATCTGGATAGGCTGGATCAGCGGCCAAGGCCAGTGCTGTGAGGTTCAACAAGGCCAAGTGTGGGTCCTGCACTTGGGTCACAGCAACCCCCTGCAGCCCTGCAGGCTGGGGAACAGTGGCTGGAGAGCTGCCCTTGGGAAAGGACCTGGGGGTGCTGGTCAGCAGTGACTGAACATGAGCCAGTGTGGGCCCAGGTGGCCAAGAAGGCCAATGGCATCCTGGCCTGGATCAGAAACAGTGTGGCCAGGGCAGGGATTGTCCCCCTGTACTCAGCACTGGTGAGGCCACACCTCAAGTGCTGTGTCCAGTTCTGGGCCCCCAGTACAAGAAGGACATGGAGGGGCTGGAGTGTGTCCAGAGAAGGGCAACAGAGCTGGGGAAGGGTCTGGAGCACAAGTCTGAGGAGGAGCAGCTGAGGGAGCTGGGGGTGTTTGGCCTGGAGAAAAGGAGGCTCAGGGGAGACCTTGTCACTCTCTCCAACTCCCTGAAAGGAGGCTGCAGCCAGGTGGGGTCGGTCTCTTCCCCCAGGTAACAGTGACAGGATCAGAGGAAAAGTCCTCAAGTTGGGCTAGGGGAAGTTTAGATCGGGTATTAGGAAAAATTTCTTCATGGAAGAAATGGTTGTCAGGCATTGGAACAGGCTGCCCAAGGAAGTGGGGCAGTCAACATCCTTGGAAGTATTTTAAAAAATATTTAGACATGGCACTTGAGGACATGGTTTAGTGGTGGACTTGTCAGTACTGGGTTAAGGGCAGGACTTGATTTTAAAGCTCTTTTCCAACTTCAATGGTTTTATAAATCTATAAGCACCTGGATGGCTTAAAAATGAAATAAGTCACTTGGCAAGATGCTGCTTGACTCTTAGCCCATCATGCATTCAAGAGTAATGAATGCTAGTGCTTTTTCAGCAATGCCTTTTACTGGGCTCCTTCAGGATACAAAAGAGAAAAAATGGAAGAGGCTGCTAGCAATTACAGAGATGCCCACTGCCTTTTAATTGAAAACAGGTGAGTGGTTAAAAGAAACACAGGCTGTCCTAGGGGACTTTTCCAGAGTTGCTAATATTGAAGGGTGGGGGAGGGAAGTGGGGAAAGAGAACTTTTTTCTAGGGGTATTTATCTCCTAAGAAGAATAAGTATCTCAATCACTTGGCCAAGTTTCTCTTCTTTGTCACAATGCATCTTTAGGTAGCCAACTCTATTATTTTCTTCTAGTGCTACCTCCAACCCTCAGCCACACAGAGAATAGGAGCAAGGAATATTTCCTTGTGTGGGTCTGTTATTTCCTGTTACCACACAGAGTACATAGATCTATCTTTGCGGCAGACAGGTGGAGTTCTTGCCTCCTTTTAAATGTCAATACAAACCAAAATGGTTCCCTTTCAGGATTTGTTAAAGGCAGCGAAAGAGGTCAATGTTTGGTCAATAATTTATTCTCTTCTTAAATCTACATCTTATATAATTTTAGCTAGATAAGGTCAGCTCAAAACCCAGGACCAACTATCAAACCTAATGGGGCTTGGTGGGCTGACAGCACCCAGAGTTAACACCCCATAGAGCTGAGTCAAAATAGCTCTTAGAAAATAATCACAAATCACTAACTTCACCACAGCCCATGCGCTCTGACTCTTAGCTGACACATCTTAAATTTCTTTTAGGACTTAATGGCATTCATCTGGAAAAAAATCTTTCTCCAGACAAAGTAGTTTCTGGCTAAAATATTGTTCAGACCATTACTCCTCTTTACTCTGGTACTGGCTAACACTAGCTCATCCTGCCCTCTGCTTTCAGACCATTCTCCCACACTGCTCCTTTGACAATATCCCTGCTGCCTCAGCACCTCTTCATTCCACCAAACTGCATCCACCTGATCAGTCCCAAATTTTAACAGTACATCAAGACAACAAACACCCTCTAAATCAGCTCACAGTATCAGCCTAATACCACTATATCAGCAGTATCATTGATTTTGAAACAGAACTTCTTCCAATATTCTTCCATACAATCTCAATATTCATATATCGTCTATATCTCAGTAATACAACCCTTCATCCAGATTCAGATCACTTATATTCTCCTTTCCCTGCTGAAAACCCCACCTCAGCTGATTATTCTCTCTTCATGATCCCCCAACAATTGTTGTTCAACTTGTATTGAAAGCTTTCTGTGGTGGGAACTTGTTTCCTTTTGAGGAAGGAGGGTGGATGTTCTGTAGAGCTCTGACTGCACAGCAACAAGCACATAATGAATGGTGCTGGCAGACACAATAACATAGATCCAAAGATTACATTTATGAAACAAACTATTATTTAAAACAAAGGTACTTAAGTGCTCTTGTACTCCTAACTGAATGGTAAAGCTGAATCTAATATCCACTTTTTCAGCATCTAAAAAGACTGCTGAGATCTTCCAAGTTATGAGAGTGAAAAGCTCTGTGAGAAAAAGAGTTAGCAGAGCATCTAAAATGGAAAAATTACCCTACATCTGTCCTAAAAAACTAGGATGCAATACACTAAGTACTTTTTATATATGGTGGAACACAAACTCAAGTCTTTTCCAGGTATACAGAGCAAGATAATTTGTTGCCCTGCAGAAGCTGGCCCATACACGTGAGCCAGTTCCATGCCCACACAGATCTCTCCAGGGTGCACACGCAGTTTCAAAAAAGAGCTCACAGGGCAGTAAGAATGCTCTGCCCCCCCAGCTACCTTCCTCCCATGCCTGCCTGCCTCCCAGATGGCAAGCAGCCAAGAGACAGCTTGTCTGAGCATGCTTGATGGTACACAGAAGTCACCAAGAGCCATCGCAAGTTACTGGCATCTGGGGCAAGCCTTGTCTTTTCCTAGAGGGTACTCTGTGAATCCTGTCTGGAAAAAAGCCTGAAGGCACTCTTCAGAACACAGCCTTGATATATCCAAAGTTTTGCATGGGCAGATGGAAAGTCTTTGTCTCTCCATCTGTAGGCTCAAGGCTTAGCAGATAAATCTATGATCAATCACTACCTCTGTGCACTCACTGCCTACTGTGTCAAACCTTTCATAACTATGTGTTTCAGTGGGAATACTGCTGGCTGCTTAAAACTTTAAGCAGATCAATTAAGGCTACATTAAAGCATATTTGGCAAGTACTTGAGTTACATGCAATAACAATTGTTCTATTCTAAAAAGTGATCGAGTAAAAATAGCATCTTCTTACTCATGTGCCCTGTTCTGTGTGCATCATAGTCATATGCTAGCTTTTGCTATTCAGAGACAAAAAGCAGGCACAGGAGATACCCACCCAAGCTCTAACAATCCTTACAAAACTTTCATGTGTCAAATACTGGCAACCTTGCAAGCTCCATTTTATGTATTCATTCCACAGACTAGCTGCACAATGCTAAGAGGTAAGTCCATACAATCCACCTACTACTCCCACCATAAAATGCCACATTTTTGAAAAGGACAGACAAAAGTTCATCCATTCCACAGCTTGAACATTAACAAACTCGAGTTGGACATAGCAGGGACCTTACAGAAAGGGTCCAAATATCTTTTCAGTCATTTCAGTAGTCACAAAGATTTATCGAGTATTTCTAGGGAAAAACACCTTTGGACAGCAGCTCTCACTGGATTTGTTCCTTCCATCGCTGCCCATTTCTTTGTCAAAAGTAAATCAAACCTCCAATCACATCAAATTTTGCAGTCAGCATTTTCAATGAGAGTTCTATACACTTCCAGAGGCTTTTCAATCCAGAGCAGTCAGACAGAATCCCTGAGGCTTTTTGCTTGCCTTTACTCACAACCTGCTTTATCTGGGTTGATCAGAGAGGAGATATTCACACTGAAAACACTGAAGTCTTGCTCAGATTGATATGCCTCCTCACACTTACCAAATGAGCAAGATGGATCTGCACTGCAAAGCCCTTCTTGAATTTCAAGAAGCTTATACTTCATTAGCAGCTCTGCATATCCCTAGCAAACATGGAATTATTTTCAAAATATCTGACCTGAGCAGTTACTACTACTTCTACAATAGTAAAAAACAAGATTAAAAACAGCAAATAAAGATGGCTTTAATTTGTACTATAAAATTTAGGACTATTTTGACTACTTTGCCTGGCAGAAATTTTTTCCATAGTAATGAGTTTCTGTAACTCCTATGGATGGTTCATCTGCCTCATCAATCAGCTTCTAGTTTTAAGAAACTGTCTGGCTTTTGCCTACCAGAACTACTTCTCCATATAGTCCTCTCTTCACCTAATGTAAATTTGCACAGTTCCCCCAACACATCACTTGGAACCAGCTGAAAATGCAAAGTTTCACATAAATACAATCTGCTGCTTATGTTGCAGCCTAGTAAACACTGCTGGCAACCTGCTGAGCAAGTAAATTCAAGATTTAGCCCACTCTGTTCTTCAAACCTGTCTGTCTAATGGCCACCAAATC